TAATAAACTAGAACTGTGGTATATGATCACATAACTTACTAATCTCACATAATGGTGGTAATAAACTAGAACTGTAGTATATGATCACATAACTTACTAATCTCACATAATGATGGTAATAAACTAGAACTGTGGTATATGATGACATAACTGACCCATCTCACATAATGATGGTAATAAACTAGAACTGTGGTATATGATGACATAACTGACCCATCTCACATAATGATGGTAATAAACTAGAACTGTGGTATATGATGACATAACTGACCCATCTCACATAATGGTGATACTAAACTAGAACTATTGTATATGATGACATAACTTACTAATCTCACATAATGGTGGTAATAAACTAGAACTGTGGTATATGATGACATAACTGACCCATCTCACATAATGGTGATACTAAACTAGAACTATTGTATATGATGACATAACTTACTAATCTCACATAATGGTGGTAATAAACTAGAACTATGGTATATGATGACATAACTGACCTATCTCACAAAATGGTGCTAATAAAAAAAAACTGTGGTAAAATTTCATTATGAATATATACAATTTCTCAGTTTTGAAAAAAATTAGCATATTTGTGAGTAATCACTACGGTAAGTATGGTTACCAATGGCAGACATCCAAGCATGCTGTTTTCTATATTCTACTTGAACCCAATGTTGATGCATGGAATGACAACATTCACAACATGGCATTTGATGGGAATCTAATGGTTAATGCTTTAATATGAATATTAATATTTCACTAGGACATGCACTGCTACAGTAATTTTTACACCAATAAGATTATGATTGTTAAATTTTCATCTAACAAATGGATTGACTTTGAACTTAACCAGTTAACTATTAGATAACACCTTGGCATGAACTGAAACATAACATGAGTGGTGAAAAGCAGTGTCACCTTCCTAACCGCTGATTTTAATGAACTTTTCCTAGGTAAGCTGACCTGATCCGTGACTTCCTCCTCCTGCGCCATAACCATATCTTCACCGTCGCTTCCTTCTGTTGTAGCAATTATAGGAACATTATCAGTACTATGAATCTCAGTGTCGTTATTTACTTCAATAATTTGAAAAGTACGGTTACGCTTCTTAATGTTTCTTCGACTCACAGGTTGTGATACATCGTCATTTTGGTATCCAACTATAGCACATGTGACATTATCATCATCACCCGTGTCTATGTTTATAGTTGTTAAATCGGACGGTAGAGATTTACCTTCAGAGGATATCGAAACCGATGTATCTTCGTCTGTTAGGATTACTTCAGTTACCACACTAGGTTGTATATGGGTGAGGTTCGCTGAATCTACAACCACTACTTCGTTGTCATCAGAACCGTTCAATTCTGAAGGCATCCGTGTCATGATAACAGTGTTTTGTTTAGGGCTTTCGGGCACATCTCTTTGCACAATAGTTGTTGTTTTGGTCTCCACCATATTCGTGTTGGCATTTTCCCCAACTGTGTTGTTTTGTTGATCTGATACAATCGAGTCGTTGTTCATGTGAACTTGAGCCGTGATCTTAATGTGATTGGTATTTGGATTGGCATGTTTTATTTCTGCCATTGGTATTGTTTCTTCAAAAATACTGAAACTGTTTTGGCCTAAGTTTGTGTTTGGTGTAGTGGGTGGGGTTGCAGCAGGAGCACTTCTTGGTGTTACACTCTGATTGTTTGTCATCGAAGCAAAGCCTGGTGAAATATTGTTGCTACCAATAGTATTATGCTGCGATGATAGCGTATTTTTACTAAGGTCATCGGCAAACGATGCATTCTCAGCAAAACCAGAAGTGTCAATTCTAGAAAACCCGCTATCAATTTTTGATATGTTATTAGACTTAGGTGTGAAATCAGGTTCAAACTTTTCACTGTCTACAATACTTGGTGTTTGCTTAGGACGGATCGCATTCCACTTATCATCAAACAAACTTCCTTCATTCTCAGCCGCCATGCTTTCTTTTATAACACTGGACTGCAGCTTCAAATGTTTTAAAAGGGCGCATATCTCGGCCATGATGGGTCGTTGCTCAGGAAACAGCCAACAAAATAGCATGATTTCAAACCTGTCAAAACAAAACACTCAGTGTTATGAAAATAAATAAACAAATCCTTATCAGTTATTTATTTCTTGTAATTTATTTAGCTGAGCTTTGATGAAATAAAAACCATCATATGGCTTGACTTTGTACCACGATAAAACTGAGCAAGCCCAAGCAATAACTCTTTTATATGGCATTATAATTACGACTGATGATAATTAATGCTGGTAGAACCATAAACAAGCAGCCTATCGGCTGAGATAGCTCCGCTGTTAGCAATGCACATTTCAATTAAAGAACTGAAGACATCATTAGAAAATGAACAATATGAATAGTATCAAAGCAATCGGACTTACAGTTTTTAACAAGAAGTCGAAAATATCACTTTTTACCAAAAATTACAAAAATATTCACCAAAATAAATTAATTAGAGAATTGAAGATATCATCACAAAATGAACAAATCTGAGAGAGTTCCACATGTAGTACCTATATATGTAATATCAAAGCAATCGGACTTACAGTTTTCAACAAGAAGTCGAAAATATCACTTTTTACCAAAAATGGCAAAAATATTCACCAAAATTAGAGAACTGAAGATATCATCACAAAATGAACAAATCTGAGAAAGGTCTACATGTAGTATCTATATATGTAATATCAAAGCAATTGAACTATTGATTTTTAACAAGAAGTCGAAAATATCACTTTTTACCAAAAATTACAAAAATATTCACCAAAATTAGAGAATTGAAGATATCATCACAAAATGAACAAATCTGAGAAAGGTCCACATGTAGTACCTATATATGTAATATCAAAGCAATCGGACTTGCGGTTTTTAACAAGAAGTCAAAAATATCACTTTTTACCAAAAATGACAAAAATATTTACCAAAATTAGAGAATTGAAGATATCATCACGAAATGAACAAATCTGAGAGAGGTCCACATGTAGTACCTATATATGTAGTATCAAAGCAATTGGACTTGCGGTTTTTAACAAGAGTCAAAATATCACTTTTTACCAAAA